GGGGGCTCCAAAATCACTGCAGATGGTGATTGCAGCCATGAAATTAAAAGACACTTACTCCTTGGATGGAAAGTTATGACCAACCTAGACAGCATATTAAAAAGCAGAGACATTACTTTGCCAACAAAAGTCCGTCTAGTCAAGGCTATAGTTTTTCCAGTAGTCATGTATGGATGTGAGAGTTGGACTATAAAGAAAGCTGAGCACCGAAGATTGATGTTTTTGAATTGTGATGTTGGAGAAGACTCTTGAGAGTCCCTTGGACTGCAAGGAGATCCAACCAGTCCATCCTAGAGATCAGTCCTAGGTGTTCATTGGAAGGACTGATGTTGAAGCTGAAACTCCAATACTTTGGCCACCTGATGTGAAGAGCTGACTCATCTGAAAAGACCCTGATACTGGGAAAGATTGAGGACAGGAGGAAAAGGGGATGAGAGAGGACGAGATGGTTGGATGGCATCAGCGACTCAATGGACATGGGTTTGGGTGGACTCCGGGAATTGGTGATGGACAGGGAGGCCTGGAGTGCTGTGGTTCATGGGATTGAAAAGAGTTGGACACGACTGAGCGACTGAACTGAAATGATACCTGATATTAATGGAGTCCTACTATATTTTTCCTTTTATGTATTGTTTATTTCACTTGGTATAATGTCTTTAAGTTTCCTTCATGTTGTAGAGTTTTATTTATCAGAGTTCCATTTCTTTTAAGGCTGAATAATATTCCATTGTATGTACATACCACATTTTGTTTATCCATTCATTCAATCTGTGGACGTTTGAGTTGTTTCTGCCTTTTTGGCTATTGTGAATAATGTTACCATGAACATGGATATAAAAATATCTATTCAAGCCCTTACTTTCAGTTCTTTTGGGTTTATGTCTAGAAGTGAGATTGCTGGATGATATGGTAAATCTATGTTTACTTTATTTAGGAACTGCCATACTGTTTCCCACAGTGGCTGCATCATTTTACACTCTCATCAGCAATGCATGAGAGTTCCATTTTATCCACATTCTTGCCAATATTTGGTATAATCTGTTCATAAAAATGTTTTAAATAATATTTATCTTAATTGGTATAAAGTAATATTTCATTGTGACTTTAATTTGCATTTCTGTATTGATTAGTGATGCTACACATCTTTTCATGTACTTGTTAGCCATTTGTAGGAGGATTGTTTGTTTTTGTTGTTGAGAACATAGTTTTTTGGTTTATAGTGGCTATATAACCCTTTTTTGAAATCTTTCCATTGTAATTGGGCCAGTTAAGTTTTCTATTTCTTTTTAGATTTTTGAAAATTCTCTTTCTTTAGGGATTCATCCATTTCCTCCTGGTTTTCCTATTTGTTGCTGAAGAGCTACCCATGGTATTTTCTTACGTAGATAATTTTACACCCTAAATTATAGTTATTTATGTATATCTTCCTTCTTAGATTTCAAACTCTATTCACAGCTTAAATATTATCGATGAAATGTGCATTTCCTTGAATATAGTATTCATATAATAATTGTTTCAGAATAAATGAATGTGTGAATTCCATTATTTAATTAATAATTGATTATTTACCAATGACTTAATTTTCATTAAAATATTGAACATGTTAGTAACAAGTTTCATAGGTTAAATACTGTATTTAGCTTTGTATAAGATGACTGTGACATTCAGAATATAAAATTTATAGCATTTGAAACAGAAAAGCTTTTGTTAGCAACTGATGTGAAATTCAAAAGGAAGAGAGGAAAGGTAAGATGAGAGATAGATGAAAAAAACTAACATTTAGTGAGACTTATTAGGTTCCTGTCACTATTTAAGTTTCTTGCATAGAGTATCTTATTTGACTTTTATCATAATCCTTTGGAATGGCCATAGTCATCCCCATTTTACAGATGAGAAAACTGGGGCTCAGGGAAGTAACCAACCAGAAAGAGGAAGAGTCTTTCTAAATAGGAGTGAAGAATTTCTGTGAATTTTTGTACTAAACAAAACATAAGTAGGCAGCTAGACTAATTTTTTGAATTTTTACTGATGTATTTCTGGGCAAGAATATAAGGGTGAGATGAGAACAGTGCTAAATGAGAATTGGTCTCCTCTCAAAGTTGTTAGATAAATGACACAAAGCAATAGGCCTGAAAGTACTTTCTGAGTGTGGATATTACTTATGACTACAGATTGGTGTTAGAGGCTTATAGTGAATTACAGAGCTAGTGCATGCATGCTTGCATGCTAAGTTGCTTCAGTCATGTCCGACTCTTTGTGACCCTATGGATTGTAGCCTGCCAGGCTTCTCTGTAATGGGATTCTCCAGGCAAGAATATAGGAGTGGGTTGCTGTGCCCTTCTCTGAAGAGCTAGTACCTGCTATCAAAGAGCTTATGTTCTGCTGGGAAGCCAAGCAGACATAGATGGAACGAAGAGAAATATTTAAATCTGATAATTACTAAAAATGCCTTGAGGCTCCACAGAGCTTATGAGTTGATGCTGAGGGGCACAGTGACTGGCACCCCAGAAACATGTCATCAAGCTTTTTCTGGATAAGAAAGCCTCCATCTGTTGCAGAGGCCTGATGTTCCCTCAGCTTGACTGGGGATCTTATGTGCAGCCTCTTGGATCCACAGGTTTATTAGAAGAGCTTGTTCACCTGCTCCCTAAACACCTGCTTCACCTGTTTGTTCCTCAGGGTGTAGATGAAGGGATTGAGCACTGGGGTCACCACGGTGTTGAGCAAGGCCACCACCTTGTTCCTGTCCTCCCCCTGGCCGCCCTTGCCCGACCGGACATACATGAAGATGCAGCTGCCATAGAAGAGAGAGACGACAATGATGTGGGAGGAGCAGGTTGAGAAGGCTTTCCGCCTCTCCTTGGCTGAGGGGATGTGCAGGATGGTGTGGAGGATGTGGCCATAGCAGGTGGCCGTCACGGACAGAGTGCCCAGTAGGCTGATGTTGGCCAGGATAAAACCCAGAAGCTCGATCAGACTTGTGTCTGCACATATGAGTTCCAGGAGTGGAAAGTTGTCACAGAAGAAATGATCAATGATATTGGGACCACAGAATGGCTGCTGAAATGTGAGGAAACCTGGAATAATGTTGAGAAGGAACCCTGTGATCCATGAAGAAAGAACTAGCTGGACACAGACCCTTTTGCTCATGATGGTGACATAACGCAAGGGGTTGCATATGGCCACATACCTGTCAAAGGACATCACTGCCAGTAGGAAGAACTCTGTGGTGCCCAGGAAGAAATAGAGAAAACTTTGTAGGAAACAGCCTGCCAGGGAGATGGTCCTGTTTCCTGTCAGGATGTTGGTCAGCATCTTGGGGAAGATGACCGAGGTGAACCAGATCTCCAGGACAGCAAAGTTGCGGAGGAAGTAGTACATGGGGGTGTGGAGGCGCCTGTCCATGAGGGTGAGGACCACGATGAGGAGGTTCCCCAGTAGAGTGAGCAGGTAGGTCAGGAGGAGCCCCAGGAGGAGGAGCGTCTGCAGCTCACAGGCATCTGAGAGCCCCAGCAGGACGAACTCGGTGACAGTGGTGTGGTTCCCCGTGGCTCCTCTGGCCTCTGCTGGGAATGCCCAGTCGGGGTGTGCGGCTTCAGGAGCCGTGATGTTCTGGGGATCTGAGGACACTGGGATCTGAAAGGAAAGAGGGATTTTGAGCTGAAGGAATCCTTTATTTCTTCCACCTGCAAATCCCTTTTCCTCCCTCCACGGGCTGGTTGTCCAGATTCCTCACCGAGTTAGCATCAAGTCACATACTTTGATTCAATTGTCTGGTATTCTTTGGGGAAAGTTTTGTCTTAACCAATTCTTTTTCTGTTTTTCTTGTTTCTGTTAGGAAGTGTTTATCCCTTTAAATCTTGATCAGATGATGTTTTTTCCCCATATTTGTGCAAATGTTTTAAGGGGTCTCTCAAATAAAGTAAAATATTTCCTCTGCAAATCCTGCATCCATTGGTCACAGGCCTTTATCAAAAACACTAATGGAAAATTTACTCTAGAACTTGTTTCAGAGGCATTTGAGTTAGAGACTTTGTGTTTGTACCTGAGCTCCATCATTTCTAACTTGTCTGGGCCAGTTCTCTAACTTCACCAAACTCTGCTTCTTCAATGGGAATAAAACATGTATTTGTAGATTAGTCATCACGGTTACTTCTTTAGGATAAATTCCTAAGTAATCATAATGAAGAATAATAATGATAAATGCTCATATTTAGAATTGTTCATTGGTTCAATTTCAATTTTAAAGAATATGTCTTTGTTTTGAATAATCTTTTTCTAGTTCCTACATTATTTAACAGTGTCTTACCAACTTCCCTGATAGCCCAGACGGTGAAGTATCTGCCTACAATGCAGGAGACCTGGGTTCGATCCCTGGGTTGGGAAGATCCCCTGGGGAAGGAAATGACAACTCACTCCAGCATTCTTGCCTCGAAAATCCCTCGGACAGAGGAACCTAGTAGGCTACCGTCCTTGGGGTTGCAAAGAGTCGGACATAACTCAGCGACTTCACTCACTTAGAGATCTGGATAAAGAAGTAGGCATTCTTGCCATCTGTTGTCCTTTATGGAAATAACAGGTAAAGACAAGTTTCTGTGAAGAAGAGTTGACTCTCTCTGAGACAGGAGCAGAAACTTATGTGATAAGCCTGCCTCAGAGAAATGGTAACACTGTGCAATATAGCTGTGTAAAATATGTATTTATATGGAGAAGAATTGGATGAAAAGACAGGAAAATGAGCATAATTGCCAAAATAGGATGGGAGGATGGCGGGTGATTTTTCTTCTGTCTCTTTATTATTTTTATTATTGCTTATAAAGTAACTTAAATTCAGAATCAGAAAAGAAGCCAGCACAATGAGCCCATTTGGTCTAAGAGTTGGGTAAAACAGTTTAGAGAGACAAAGGGGAAATAAATGGCTGTCCGTGAATAGAGGGAAGGAAAGCCATAATGATTCTGTGAGCCATCAGCTGTTCCTGAGTCAGGACACTGAGAATGATGCAAAAAATCAAAGAAGTGAGCTGTGCCATAGCCTGCCAGTGGGCACCTGGAAATAGATGGCAGGCTCCCAGCCAGAGCATCCAGAGGAATCAAGTTCCCCTTCCCCACACCAAAAATTGCACTAACGTAGATTAGTGCAGATACTAGGTGAGATACTCGGTTGTCTTCAAGGCCGTTCTCATGATGGGGAGACTCCTGGTTTTCACAGGAAACTCCCAACTCTGCAGGGCTGCCTGCAGGAGTACGCTTCTTAGGGGCTCACCAGAGATGCGAAATGAAGGACGCGCCAAAGCTGTAATGTGTTCTGCAGATCATGGACACAAGTAGGTCCTATTCTCTTGTACATAGTACACGCAGGTGTCTGCAAATATCCATATTTTCCAACAACCAATCTCTCTTAAGAAATATTCTCTGACTCTCTTGCCATCCACACATCCTCAGATATCCTTAGAAATGAATAGTCTCTGGATGTTCCCCAGAACTTCAGCCGTTTCTCAGGAAGCTTCTATTTTTTTTGATCCATCACCATGTCATGGACCACTTTTGTGGGGAAATGGATATGAAAACCTATTTAATTATTCTTCCCTCCCTCATAGTAAGGCAAAGACAGACATCAATAGATGCTGATTAGTTTAACTCATCTTCAGTTGGGCTTAAGAAGTTTCTGGTCCTTCCAGGAGTATGGAGTCCATAGAGAGTTCTGAGGTGAAATAATCGTGGCAGACTCTTTGTCTTGGACTGCTTGGAATTCTGTTTGGTCTCCTTGGAAGCTCAGAGATACAGAAGGTGCAGAGCTCAAACTTAACCAGTCTAGAGATTCATGCTATTCTCTTACTGGAAGGAGCTATGCTTCCCTGGAGATTCATTATCATCAGTGGTAATAGGACCTAAGAAGGTCCCTTACCTCTTACTTTCTTCAGTTTTGGGATTTAAAGTTTACTTTGTTTTGACTGAGAAGCTGAGAAACCTCTAATGAATTTTAACTGTGACAAAGAAACACAGTTAATAAAACATTCAAAAAGTTTTGTGATGTGCTTTTCTGTGATAAGTATGGCTGTAGATGCCACAGACAGGCAGTATCTTGTGGGGAAGATAGCCATTAGGTAATCAGATAAATATTAATGACTATTGTGATTAGTGTCTGAAGAAGAGCTCAGAGGATATCCTGAACCAGACTGAAGGATGATGAAGGGTATTCCTGTTAGAGTTACATGAAGTTGTTGCTGTTCAGTTGCCAGTCATGTCTGACTCTTTGTGATTCATGGACTGCAGCACCCAGGCTTCCCTGTCCTTCACCAACCCCTCCGCTATAGTTTGCTCAAACTTAAGTCCATTGAGTCGACAATGCCATCCAACCATTTCATCCTTTGTCCCAACCATTTCATCCTTTGTCGTCCCCTTCTCCTCCTGCCTTCAGTCTTTCCTAGCACCAAGGTCTTTTCCAATGAGTCAACTCTTTGCATCAGGTGGCCACAGTATTGGAGCTTCAGCTTCAGCATCAGTCTTTCCAATGAATATTCAGGGTTGATTTCCTTTAGGATTGACTGGTTTGATCTCCTTGCTGTCCAAAGGACTCTCAAGAGTTTTCTCCAGCACTACAGTTTGAAAGCATTAATTCTTTGGTGCTCAGCCTTCTTTATAATCCAACTCACATCTGTACATGACTACTGCAAAGACCATAGCTTTGACTCTATGGATCTTTGTGGGCAAAGTGATGTCTCTGCTTTTTAATATGTTGTCTAGATTTGTCATAGCTTTTGTTCTAAGCAGCAAGTGTCTTTTAATTTCATGGCTGCAGTCACCATCCACAGTGATATTTTTAGCCCAAGAAAATAGTCTGTCACTATTTTCTTTGTTCCCCCATCTATTTGCCATGAAGTGATGAGACTGGATGTGATGATCTTTGTTTTTTTGAATGTTGCATTTTAAGCCAGACTTTTCACTATCCTATTTACCTTCATCAAGAGGCTCTGAAGTTCCTCTTCGCTTTCTGCCATAAGGGTGTTGTCACCTGCACATTTGTGATTGTTGATATTTCTCCTGGAAATCTTGATTCTAGCTTTTGCTTCATCAGCCTGGCATTTCTCATGATATGCTGTGCATAAAAGTTAAATAAGCAGGGTGACAATATACAGCCTTCATGTACTTCTTTCCCAATTATTAACCAATCCATTGTTCCATGTCCAGTTCTAACTGTTGCTTCTTGACTTACATAGAGGTTTCTCAGAAGGCATGTAAGGTATTCTGGTATTTCCATCTCTGTAAATCTGAGATGTGAAGAATAATTTGGAGTGTGTGTGGAGGTGAAGGACCTTTAATTAAGTAATTAATCATTCATTCAATAAATGTTTATTGAGTACCTACTGTACCTACTGTGTGCTAGACTCTATACTGTGTACTGAAGATGACTGTGAGTGGTGAACAAAACAGAGATGGTGTCCAGTCCCCGTTGAGCATCCTATTATGTGAATCTTTGTAAAAGGATGTTGAAATTGTGTTTGTCTTGGTTCTTGGGCCATTCAAGCTATAAGTACTTTGTAATCCCACTTTCTTTGGTCACCAAACTATTCTGTGCACTGGAGAAAACTGGCTTGAGGTAACGTGACTGTCAGAAATGGTATGATTAGGAGCCAATGATATATTTGAAAAGGCAAATGAATGACAGGCTTTTAGTTCTCTAAGTGCATTAGTGGGTTAATCTGACTGGGGTTATCTTTCCTGATAGTCTGGTTATCCTTAATGTAGTCAGAAGACTACCAACTCACTTTCTAAACACCTGGTCACCTCATATAAGCTGCATGTGTAGTCACCTTATTCCTGGTAAAGAGTCATGACTACATCAATAACTTATAAGAAGTAGGCTCATGTGACTGGGTAGCTGAGGTTAAGAAGCATACATGGCACATACTGGTTGCATCTGCTGAGATGTGGTTATAGAAATTGTATACCTCCTCTGGTCGACCAGAACTTTCATAATTTTCAGTTAGACATGATACAGCCTACGTGCTTGGTGTCACAGGTTGATTTGACATAGTGCCTGTGATAGCTTCTAAGGTAGCCCCGATGACCCATCTCCTGATATCTATGCCCACATGTGATCCCCTCCCCTTGTGTGTGGCTGTGCCTAGTGATGGTCTTCTAATGAATGGAATACAGTGAAAGGGACGAGATGTCATTTTTGAGAATGTTACAGAGAGACTGTGGTTCCATCTTGCATGTCCTTTCTTGCTCTCTTGCTTGCTCTGAAGGAAGCCATATTATTAGCTGTCCAGTAGAGAAGCCCACATGGCAAGGGACTCATGTCTCCAGCCAATAGCCAGCAAGGACTTAATGACAATGAACAGCCACCGTAGTGAACATGGGAGCAGATCCTCTCTTAGACAAGCATTGAGATGACTACTGTTGTAGCCTGTACCTTGGTTGCAGCCTTATGAGATATCTGGAGCTAGAGGCTAATACAGTTCTCATTGAGATTCTGGTCTTTATTCCGTAGGTGTCCTGATGAAGCACTCAATGCATTTTTGTTGTTCATTCGCCAGTCGTGTCTGACCCTTTGTGATCCATGGACTACAGCACCCAGACTTCCCTGTCCCTCACTATCTCCCAGAGTTTGCTCAAACTCATGTCCACTGAGTTGATGATGCCATCTAACCATCTCATCCTCTGTCGTTCACTTCTCCTCATGTCCTCAATCTTTCCTAGCATCAAGGTCTTTTCCAATGACTCAGGTCTTTGCATCAGGTGACCCAAGTATTGGTTTTAGCTTCAGAATCAGTCCTTCCAATGAATATTCACGACTGATTTCCTTTAGGATTGACTGGTTTGATCTTGCTGTCCAAGAGACTCTGAAGAGTTTTCTCCAGCACAACAATTTGAAAACATCAGTTCTTCGGCACTCAGCCTTCTTTATGATCCAACTCTCACATCTGTATATGACTATTGCAAAAACCATAGCTTTGACTCTATGGATCTTTGTGGGCAAAGTGATGTCTTCTTTTTAGTATGTTGTTTAGATTTGTCATAGCTTTTCTTCCAAGGAGTGTCTTTTAATTTCATGGCTGCAGTCACCATCTGCAGTCACTGTTTCTGTTTTCCCCCCATACATTTGCCATTAAGTAACGGGACCAAATGCCATGATCTTGCTTTTTGATAGTTGAGTTTTTTTTTTTTTAATTTTTATTTATTTATTTATTTAGGGCTGTGCTGGGTCTTTGTTACTGTTTGGGCTTTTTTCTAGTTGCAGCAAGCAGGGGTTGTGGTGCACAGGCTTCTCACTGCAGTGACTTCTCTTGTTGGGGAATATGCACTCTTGGTCTCTTGGGCTTCAGTAGCTGTGGGACATGGGCCTAGTGGCTCTGCAGCATGTGGGATCTTCCTGGGCCAGGGATTGAACCCATGTCTCCTGCATTGACAGGCAGATTCTTTACCACTGAGCCACTAGGGAAGCCCAAATGTTGAGTTTTAAGCCAACATTTTTGCTCTCCTCTTTCATCTTCTTCAAGAAATTCTTTAAATTCTCTTCTCTTTCTGCCATAGGGTGGTGTCATCTGCATATCTGAAGTTGTTGATATTTCTCCTGGCAATCTTTATTCCAATTTGATTCATCCAGCCTTGCATTTCACATGATGTACTGTGCATGGATGATACTTTGTGTATGAGGTGTGAAAGTTGCTCTTTGTGTCCGACTATTTGAAACCTCATGGACTTTACAGTCCATGGAATTCTCCAGGCCACAATACTGGAGTGGGCAGCCGTTCCCTTCTCCAGGGGATCTTCCCAACCCAGGGACTGAACCCAGGTCTCCTGTGTTGCAGGAGGATTCTTTACTATCTGAGCCACCAGGAAAGCCCGAAAAAGTATCATCAAATAAGATTCAAATGCATGTCAAGTATAGCAGTACCAATCTCTCCAAGGAATACAACTTACTTTGCTTCCCTGGTTGTTCCATGTCAAATACGTCAAGGCTGTATATGGTCACCATGCTTATTTAGTTTATATGCAGAGGTCAGTTCAGTTCAGTCGCTCAGTCATGTCTGACTCTTTGCGACCCCATGAATCGCAGCACGCCAGGTCTCCCTGTCCATCACCAACTCCCAGAGTTTACTCAAACTCATGTCCATCAAGTCGGTGATGCCATCCAGCCATCTCATCTTCTGTCGTCCCCTTCTCCTCCTGCCCCCAATCCCTCCCAGCATCAAGGTCTTCTCCAATGAGTCAGCTCTTCGCATGAGGTGGTCAAAGTACTGGAGTTTAAGCTTCAGCATCTGTTCTTCCAATGATCACCCAGGACTGATCTCCTTTAGGATGGACTGGTTAGATCTCCTTGCAAGTCCAAGGGACTCTCAAGAGTCTTATCCAATACCACAGTTCAAAAGCATCAATTCTTCTGCGCTCAGCTTTCTTTATAGTCCAACTTTCACATCCATACATGACCACTGGAAAAACCATAGCTTTGACTAGATGGTGGCTCAGGGGTAAGAAATCCTCTTGGCAATTCAGGAGATGTGAGATTGATCCCGTAGTCTGGAAGATTTCTGGGAGAAGAAAATGTCAACCCACTCCAGTATTCTTGACTTTGAAATCCCATGGAGAGGAGGAACCTGGTGGGCTAGGGTACTTGGGGTCACAAAACAGCTGGACAAGACTTAGGGACTAAACAACAACAATGACCAGTAATATAGCTGAACATCTTTTCAATTATATTGGTCCTTTGAGTTTACTTTACTGTCAGTGTCTATGTATATACTTATCTCAATTATCTGTTGGGTTATTTACCTTTGTATATTATAGAAAATAATCGTTCATTTGTAATTTACATTCTTCTGTCTCCCTCCTTCCTGAAAGTTCATTTAAACCTCTTCATGCAGTTATTTCTTCCTTGACCTTGTATGAAATTCAGGACAGTAATGCAAATTTTCTGGGCATATGTATAATTTTAGAAGTCCTTCATTCACCATTTGTTCAAAGAATGGGATTATTAAATTGTCTGGTCCTATATAATTGTTAAAGGTTTGAACTTCATTTAAAGTAAATTGTATTTTAGCCTCCAACTAATAAAAATAAATGGAAAAATAAAAAAAAATAAAGTAAATTGTATTTCTGTTGATGCATAAGGCCTGTTTCAGGCAGGAAATCTCAGAGAGAAATGGTGTGTGGTTTCGGCTTCCTCTGTGTTAACTATGCAAGTCCACCTCCCCCTCACCTGAGTTTGCTAACCTTGTCCTTCTCCAGAGATATGGGCATGGGATTGGTGTGGCAGGTAGGGATGGATTTCCTAGAGAATGGGAAAGGTTATATGAAGAAAGATGGCAGTGGTGGTGGTAAGAAATGGTAGATTTAGTACATATTTTGGATGTATAATCCACAGAGTTTGCTGATGGATTGACTGAGAAATAAGAGAAAGGAAGGAAGTCAAAGGTAATGCAGTTTTGTTTCTGACCTGGAATCTGTACTTTTCTTATTGGGTAAAATACATAATAATATAAAATTGATCATCTTAACCATGTTAAAGTGTACTGTTTGGTGGTGTCAAGTACATTCACATTGTTATGAGATCATCACCATTATCCATGTCCATAACTTTTTCATCATCCCAAACTGAAATTTTATATCCATCAAATAATAACTCTCCATTTCCTACCCACACTTCCTGGTAGCCACGATTCTACATTCCGTCTCTATGATTTTTTTTTGATCACTCTATACCTCATATTGTGGAATCTGACTCTATTTATCCTTTTATGTCTTGCTTATTTCACTTAGCATAGTGTCTTCAAGTTTCCTCCATGTTGTAGCATTTAATTTATCAGAATTCCATTTCTTTTTAAGGCTGAATAATATTCCAATGTATGTACATACCACATTTTGTTTATCCATTGATTCATCCATGCACATTTGAGTTGTTTCTACCTTTTTGGCTGTTGTGAATAATGCTGCTGTAAACACAGATATAAAAATATCTGTTCAAGTCCTTTCTTTCAATTCTTTTGGGTTTATGTCTAGAAGTGAGATTGCTGGATGATATGGTAAATCTCTGTTTACTTTATTTAGGAACTGCCATACTGTTTTCCACAGTGGCTGCATCATTTTATACTCTCATCAGCAGTGCACCAGAATTCTAATCTATCCATATTCTTGCCAACACTTGGTATAATCTGTTCAAGAAAAATTTTTAAATAATATCCATCTTTATAGCTATAAAACAATATTTCATTTTTGATTTTAATTTGCATTTCCCTAATGATTGGTGATGCTGCCCATCTTTTCATGTACTTATTGGCCATTTGTAGAAGAGTTGTTTTTGTTGTTGAAAACATACTTTTTAGTTTATAGTAGCTGTATAATCTTTACTTGAAATCTTTCTATGGTAATTGGGCCAGTTAAGATTTCTATTTCTTTTTACATTTTTGAAAATTCTCATCCTCTAGGGAGTCATCGCTTTTCTCCAGGTTTTCCTTTTTGTTGTTGAAGAGCTACCTGTGGTATTTTCTTACAAAGATCATTTTGTACCCTCAAATGTTGTTATTTGTGTCCTTTCTATCTTCCTTATTAGATTTCAAATTCTTTGAAGGCATAAATTAAGTGTTATGCACTGAAATGTGCATTTCCTTGAACATGGCATTCGTGTAATAATTATTTTGGAATAAGTTGCCATGTGAATTGATCTCATTATTTAGTTAATATTTGATAGTTTACCAACATGACCTAATTTTCATTTTCATGAAAATAATGAACATCTTAGTAACAAATTTCAATAGGTTTAATACTGTATTTAACTTTGTATAAGATAAATAGGATATTCTGAATATAAAATTTATAGTATTCCAAACAGAAAAGTTTTGTTAACAACGGGTGTGAAATTTAAAAGGAAGAGAGGGAAGGTAGGATGAGGTACAAATGAAAGAAACTAACATTTAATGAAACTTATTATGTGCCAGTCACTATTTACGATTCTTACATAGAGTATCTCATTTGACTTTTGTCATAATCCTTTGGAACGGATCCCCATTTTACAGATGAGAAAACTGGGGCTTAGGGAAGTAACCAACCAGGAGGAAGAGTCTTTCTAAATAGGAATGATGAATACTTATGAATTTTAATACTAAACAAAGAGTTTTCCACAGTGGCTGCATCATTGATAATAAGCAACTAACCTTATTTTTTGAATTCTTAGGGATATATTACTGTGACAAGATGAGGACAGTGCTAACAGTGTTCTCCTCTCCCTTGAGGTTGTTGGAGAAACAGAAACACAAAATCAGTCTGAAAGCAGTTTCTGAGTATTTATATGGTATATCACAACAATTGGTTTTTGAGGCTTTTGGTGAATTACAGAGCCAGTAATTGCAGACCCTCTCATCAAAAAGCTTGTATTCTGCTGGGAAGCGAAGCATATAGATGGAATGAAGAGAAATATCCAAATATGATGATTACTAAAAATGCCTTGAGGGGCCACAGAGTTTACGAGTTGATGCTGAGGTGCACAGTGACTGGCACCCCGGAAACATGTCATCAAGCTTTTCCTGGATAAGAAAGCCTGCATTTGTTGCAGAGTCATGATGTTCCCTCAGCTTGACTGGGGATCTTATGTGCAGCCTCTTGGATCCACAGGTTTATTAGAAGAGCTTGTTCACCTGCTCCCTAAACACCTGCTTCACCTGTTTGTTCCTCAGGGTATAGATGAAGGGATTGAGCACTGGGGTCACCACGGTGTTGAGCAAGGCCACCACCTTGTTCCTGTCCTCCCCCTGGCCGCCCTTGCCCGACCGGACATACATGAAGATGCAGCTGCCATAGAAGAGAGAGACGACAATGATGTGGGAGGAGCAGGTTGAGAAGGCTTTCTGCCTCTCCTTGGCTGAGGGGATGTGCAGGATGGTGTGGAGGATGTGGCCATAGCAGGTGGCCGTCACGGACAGAGTGCCCAGTAGGCTGATGTTGGCCAGGATAAAACCCAGAAGCTCAATCAGACTTGTGTCTGCACATATGAGTTCCAGGAGTGGAAAGTTGTCACAGAAGAAATGATCAATGATATTGGGACCACAGAATGGCTGCTGAAATGTGAGGAAACCTGGAATAATGTTGAGAAGGAACCCTGTGATCCATGAAGAAAGAACTAGCTGGACACAGACTCTTTTGCTCATGATGGTGACATAACGCAAGGGGTTGCATATGGCCACATACCTGTCAAAGGACATCACTGCCAGTAGGAAGAACTCTGTGGTGCCCAGGAAGAAATAGAGAAAACTTTGTAGATCCCTGGGATTCTCCAGGCAAGAACACTGGAGTGGGTTGCCATTTCCTTCTCCAATGCATGAAAGTGAAAAGTGAAAGTGAGTCATGTCCGACTCTTAGCAACACTATGGACTGCAGCCTACAAGGCTCCTCCATCCATGGGATTTGCCAGGCAAGAGTACTGGAGTCGGTTGCCATTGCCTTCTCTGTTTGAGGCTACCTGTCTCTTTTATTGCCCCTGGTGTTTCTACGTGGTAGAGAGTGGTATTGCCAGGGATACTAAGTAAACGTCCTATACCAAAAGTTATTCTTGCTTGCTTTTGTTAACTGAAATTTTACTTCCGTTCCTCAGCAGTTCCTTTGCCTCTAACTTTCATTACCTTTCACTACCTTTCATTTTATCTTTATTCTAATATTGGGTCTTCATTCATAAGTAGTCCCTATTTGAGGCTGACAAATATTTGAGGCTGGAAAAATAGCAAAATGGCTTAACTTAGCCATTCACTATACAGATCCATATCCTGGGTAAACTGATGATTCATAGACACTCTATTGCTATTTCAGTATTATGTGAAAATGTGATGCCTTTCACTAGTATTTGGCTTAATAAAGAGACAAGAGGAAATCTATGAGAGAAAAGCACAATCCCTACCAATCAAAAAGAGAATAATCCAAGTAACATATGCAGAAATAAAAATTTGTTAGTGGAAACAAAATTTGTTAATGGGAATTTGGTATTTATCCTAATGTGGACAATGGATTTGTCCTAATGTAATAGATCCATAGTCTCCTGATTGCATATTCCCATGGGCTCAAGATACAATAGACCCTTTGTTTTTAAAGAAATTTTTAACTGTTTTATATACATAGGTTTCAGCACATGGCATTTCAGCTTGGAACCATCAGCTTTTCAAATCCTATTTATCCTTTAAGTCTCTCCTCAATGAGTGCTATCATTTCCATAAAGTCTTCTCTTTTGAATGCATGAGTCTCTGTATCCCTCATAATTTTATTGTATATCACAACTTTTATTGTGTTTTATGGTTGTTTTTCATCTTTGTATTTTATATAGCCCCTAGAACAAGTTTCTTGAAACAATCATCTTTAATAAGCATGTATTGAATGAGTGAACAACACCTCAAATATCTGTGGTATGGATTTGGTGGTTTTTGACACACAGTAGATTGAGGATGTGTGACTTACGTGGCACTTCATGGAAGACAGAAATCCTGCTGTCATATGCCAAGCAATCTGTTAAATTCACCCATCTGAAGAGGGTTTGCTTTTCCTCACGAGAAGGTGGAGATGTCTCCCCGCAAACATTCTCTAAGGAGTAACTCTCCATCTTTGAGATAGTCTGGAGTTTGAGCTAGTAAATAGAGGTCTGTTTGGATCTGCTAGAATGCTTCCAGCAGAAAACAAAACAAAAGCAAAACCCCAAACCTAAAAAACAGCTCTTTTTAAGTCTACCTGCCTACAAGTTTCCTTAAGCATTATCAACCACTCCCTTAATTATCAGACAGAACTGTAGCAACAATTATTTTTCTGTCACTGGAGAATAAGATTGGGACCCAGTTTAGGTACCTGGGATGAAGGCAATGCTAGGGTATATTAGTACAGAGGATGAAATGGTAAACTATATAAACTTTACCTTTCTTATGATTTTGCCTTCTCTTCAGCACAGGCTACACTATTCAAAGTTATTCCAAAACTACTATTGTATCTAATGTTTGTTTACAGGTATTAAAGAGCACAAAATAGTTGATCAGCCTCAGAGAATATAACTAAGGGCTCTTCACCAGGGGTTATTTCTAGGCTCGATATCATTTAGCTTCTCAGCAACTTGAGCTCTCTGTGGCCCAATCATGCGGTTCACAGGTGAGTCCAGTTGGTTGAAAAACTTACCCAACTCATTTTAGAAGAGAAGCAGGATCCAACATAAGTGTAATATCCAGACACATCATCAGGAGGTAATAGAATGAGTATCATTTAGGCGAAGTCCTGATGGAACATATTGGGAAAGAAATGGGAATAGAGACTAAGATGAAGAAGAATTGGCTGGGGGTAGAAGGAGAAAGCTCTGAGCTCATACTGAATCATGAAGTTAGCACAGATAAATCATGAAAAGACAACTGTGATTAGCCCAAGGATATGTCTCACAGACAGGGTGGCTAATAAACTTTTTATTTTTTCCCTACTTCAAATGGGAGGTCAATAGCTGGGTGGGACAGTCTTCCAGATACAAAGGGAAGGGGTCCACTTCATGAGTTCGGGTATTTCTTCCTTTATCCTTTAGACTTGGTGAGTGAACTGGGAGACTTGCTTGGCACCCTGAGAGCCTAGGCATGCCTGTACTATTCACCCAGACTATTCATTGTTTTAAGGGTCAGTCATGCAGTACCCAGTAGGAAAGTCTCTATGGATGCCCTGGAGGTTTGTCCTGCCTCTCGATAATTCTAGTAGATAGAAGGAGGGTGAGATCCCCTTCTAAGGAAAATCATTAAGAATTTCATGCAGACCTGATGCTCTCCAGAGCTTTGGGTTTTTCAAGGGGACAGCTACACAGAGCACAAGGCAGGACAGACAAATTTCCTCAATGTGAGTAACTTAATGGTTCTGCCTGGATGAACATTGGCTTGCCTAGCATTGACCTGGATGGTGGGACTGAAGCTACAGATGAGACCCAGTGTGTGTGTGCTCAATGTGCTAGAATACAGAAGATAAGTGCCAAGAAATGCATGGTTTGGGGAAGTCACTGCTGCTCTGCCTTCTGTGCAAGGGCAAAGTGGAGATTACCCTCTGGCCCAGGGTTAGGTTTCTTGCTGCCCTCTGAAAAGTGAAAGTGTTAGTTGCTCAGTTGTGTCCAACTCTTTGGGACCCTGTGGACTATAGCCCACCAGGCTCTTCTGTCCATGGAATTCTCCTGGCAAGAATACTGGAGTGGGTTGCCATTTCCTTCTTCAGGGGATCTTCCTGACCCAGGGGTTGAACCCAGGTCTCCTACATTGCAGAGAAAGCAGTGGCAACCCACTCCAGTACTCTTGACTGGGAGATTCCAGGGACGGAGGAGCCTGGTAGTCTACAGTCCATGGGGGTCGCAAAGAGTCGGGCACGACTGATGTGACTAAGCAGCAGCAGCAGAAGCTCCTGAATTACGGGCAGATTCTTTGCTGTCTGAGCCACCAGACAGCCCTCCAGGGAGGTTCCGATCAGGCTATCTAAAATACAGTACTCACAGGCTTTCAGAAGATAACCTGGTTCACATGAGTGTGTCTTGAGCTTGCAGTATTGTCTATGTGCACTAAATGCAGATCTTATACCGTTGGTGTGAGACCCCTATCTCTCATGAATTTGATGGCATCCTTTGAGAACAACAATTCTTTTCCAAAGTATCCTGAAAAAAGTGTCTGGCTTTTCCTGGGTGGGAGAATGATTTCCTTAACTTTGTCATCATTCAACTCACAGGATCTGATGAGGCCAGAATGTCTTGAAAATTTCCAAGTTCAGCAAGCTCATCCTGGGGAAAGCCTGGGAAGCGTTCAGTTACCATTTAGTGGAATCTTCCTTCATCCTCCTTTTGGACTAATCGAGGGTGATTTTGACTGATAAAGACTTCTATTACATTCTCCACATTGGGCCAGTCTCTGTGAGATAGTTCTTCTGTGGACAATGGGGCTCTATAAGACAGTGAATGAGCTACTCCTGGAATAAATACATCTCCTTGTGGAAGTGACATAAGGGTTGGAAGATTTGGATGGCAGCTTTGTTTTCTTCAGGGATCTACTCTTATCCTAAGATTTATGGTCCCTGGGTTCCCTGGAGAATTAGTATAATGAGCCTCACTCAGCTTCTGCCCAACTCTCTTGGCTGTTCCTTATTACAACTTTTCAAATAAAAGTTTCAGTTGTTTGTTCAAGTCAAGAATAATAGTTACTTTTAAAGTGATACATCTAATTATTATCCTGAAATTGAGGCTCCTGTCTAACATTAGATAGTCCTATTATTACAGGGATGTGAGGAGCCGTCGTCACAAGCAACATAGAACTTTGAGATTTCCTTGGTGGTCCAGTGGCTAAGACTGTGCGTCCAATGCAGGAGGCCTGAGTTTGATCCCTGGTTGAGGAATGAGAATCCCACATGCCATAACTAAGATTCCATGCAGCTGAATAAAGAAAAATATTAAATATTGAAAAAAAAGCCAAAGTGAGAGTATAGAGGGCCCAACCTGTTGATGGGAATTTCGGCAAATCATGTTGTAGAAAAGTATTTGGGATGAGAGATATAGTTCTGGCCATATTTAGAATTACAATCTGCCATGTGCAAGTAATATTGCCTATTTTGTGAGGCTCTGTGAGTATCAAATTAGAAATGTTCTTAGTATAGGACTTAATCAGCACTTAAGTACTGATTTAATTGCTTAAATTAAGTGCTTCAGTATTGATTAAGCACATAATCAACACTTAAGTAGTTAATCAGTAATTAATGTAGTTCCTGGTGCATTGGAAAGGCTCAGTGTTTCCATAATTATTACTTGAAACTTGCCCTTTGGACAGTTTTTGATTTTCTGAATTCTGGTTCTTAGAAAAATCTGATTAAGAGTAGACAAAGTGGAAAAAAAAATACAAGTGAAATTGAGTAAAAGTGTATTGTGGTTACCTTTTAAATGTCTTCTTGTCACTTTAAAAATTCTGAAGTTGGGAATTTCCTGGTGGTTCAAAGATTAGGACTCTATCCTTCCAATGCAAGGGACACGGGTTCAGCCCCTGGTGGAGCAATTAAGATCCCACATGCTGGAAGGCCAAAAAAGAAAAAAAGAAAAATTCTGAAATACAGGGCAGCCTGATGTGGAACTAAGATGTCCCAAACCAGGGGAAAATGCTTTGTGACCCGCTTACTTTGTGACCCTCCTCCTTGCTTTGAAGTGGTGAAGATGCTCTGAATCCGAACTTGCACTAGAACCTTAGCACCTATTGCTTTTGGCCTTCTTTTCTCGGGGTTAAATCTGCTGCAATGAAATCAGTATAAACTTTCTTATCAAGGCTTGCAGAACTGTTCTTTATGACTGGAAAAGTCATAGATTTTTAGACTTTTGAAATTTAGCAGCAGTAACTTTGGCTTCCCAAAGCGTTTTGAGATGAACATGAAGACAATGAACAACTGCCGACAAACTCATCTTGTGCTTTGTTGTCAATTGTGATAACTTAAATTCCCCTCTCCTTGGCTCTGAAATTGATGTCACAGCTGCACGAGGTACCAGGCATATGATGATCTTTTTATCTGTTTTTAGCTATGAAATTCTGTTCTTTTAAGCAATGTGGACAAAGAAGGACATCTTTGTACATCAGCACTTTGATTTGAAGGTGATGTCAAATAGATTTTGATGCAAATAAAATATTAAGTTGTGCCAAGAATTAAAAATAGAATCTTGTGAACTTGTTTCAGTTCAGAAAAATGTGGAATGAATTAGGGAAAAATATATTAAAATAATATTATTGGTTTCCTTTTGCTACAGTATAGTTTATGTTCCTCCTAGGAAATTTTAGAAAAGCCAAGCAAAGAGAGAAAAATAAAAATCCACCTGCATTCTTATCACTGGATAAAATAATTATTCACATTTTAGAATAAGCATTTTTGCATATATACATTTATATACACCACAGGTTTTTTAAAAAATTGGTCACAATGCACATGTTATTTAGCATTTGGATTTGTTTAAATAAAAAATCTTGATAGAGGGACTTCCCTAGTGGTCCAGTGGTTAAGACTCTCTGCTCGCAATGCAGGAGGCCAGGGTCCATCCCCAGTTAGGGAACTAGATTCCACATGCTCCAACTAAGAGTTTGCATGCTGCAACTGAAAAAAGAGTTTGAATGCTGCAACTAAAACAACAAACAAGCAAACAAAAACAAAACAAATAATAGAGTGTGGAGGTCTTTCCATGTCAGTTAATACATAAAATCAATTTAAATTATTTTAATCAGTTTCCTATTTGTCTCTCTGTATTTAGATTGTTTCCCATTCCCACAATTATAAACATAAAGTGTGTACTTGTGCAGATATTTAAAAATTTGTTTAAAAAATTATAGAGGTAGTACACATTTAATAATTCAAATATTATAGAGAATTATAAAATGAAAGGTAAAAAGTTTCCTTTCCTCTTCCTCTACTTCAGTTAAAAACAAGCATCTGATAATTCTTTCTTACTGGGATTGTTCACATGATTATTATTTTAGCTTTAATTAATGCCTTTGGTTAATTATATCTTTAATTAATATTACTGTCTTTAGTAATATCTCTGTCTTTTTCTTCGGTTCATCATCTTTTAGTAGTGTCCTGGGCTATATT